CGCTGGTTTTGTCGGGAATGGCTGGGATGTCAAAGGTGGGACTGGGAATCTTTCTTTTCAACTCGGTGGATTCTGTATGTATATTCACTAGCACTGTTTTTGTCCATAGAATTACCAGAAAATTTCTGTAGTTCATGGCAGATAAAAGTATTTATTTATGATTTTTTAGTTTTTGTTATAGAAGTTTGCAGTGGCGTGACTTTTTCTCAGCGTAAGTAGCATTGGTTTAAGAGTAGGTCTTAACAGTTGAAACCTGTAAGCCGCCAAAATTATTCGGGTCTGTTATTTGCCTTTTGATTTTCGAAAGTTATCTTTTGTTTTGTTTGCGCAATGCGGTTAGATGTTACTTATTGCGAGGGCAGTGTGCAACTAGGGTAAACAAGTGTGAAAGTCTTAATTGCAGGTCTAGCTTGCTAATGGTATTAATCTCTGTAATAAGCAGTGGAACATCTTTAAAAGCAAGTCGGTTATATAAGTTAGGATGTCTAGGCACGTCTGTCTTGTTCACAGTTAATTTCTAGTTTATTTTTTGACGTAAGGATTGTGAAATTGGAAAAGTTATGAAAAGTAAGGAAGTTGAGACGTAGTAATCGGATGGTCGAAGTTTTCATATTTCCGAAGTTGGTTTTCCGACCGTAGAGGTTGACGGTGTTACGGGTGATTCGCATCGTTATGTTTTGTAAATTTAGCTTTCGTGCTGTTATAAATTTTTATAGTAACGCTGGTTTGTTAGTCAAGTTTATAAGTGGAGGGATATAGCTTATTAATTCGTCAGATAGGAAACTGATTTTTTTAACTGGTAGGGATTATTTCTTTGAAACATCTATTGCACGTTTACTTCAAAGACGGAACGTGGTACTGATTTTGAATGAGGTATCTGGTTTTCAAGTTCCTTCATTGTTTTAAGGCTCTTTGAAAAACTGGAAATTTCAGTCGTAGGTTTTAGAGGTTGTTTTAATTGTCGCATAAATGAATTTTATATTCGCGTCTAATTTTCGCCTCCAGTGTTACACTGTTGTAAAGATGTGTTGGACGTGCCGTTGTTTGACTGTTTTTTTAATTTTGAATATATTTGTGGTCCTCTACATCATTTTTCCTTAATGTTGAAATACATAAATCGTTTTAAATTGTGACTTTTTAATACATAATTAAGAGACAAATGAAGTTGTTGTAGAAATTTTGTGAGCAAAGAATGCAAGTTAATCAATGAACAACAGTAATTTAGGTGTACAGATTAATAGACTTTTGATGTGGAAGAATTCAAGAGTACTTTCTGTATACAGTTACACGCATTTAGGTGAGATCACAATAATTTGTCACTCAGGACTGTTCAGGAGGATGAGGGATTAGGCGACAGTGACAAATGTTACAGTGATTTATGGCTGTTTATGTTTAGGTAATTTCTGGGAAGGCTAAAGGATAGGTCACAGCGAAAGCGGTTTTGTATGTTGAGTGGCTTCTCTGACCATTTAGCTACTCTCTTAAATTCTTTACCATGTTGTGGCTGTTACTTAAACTATTCATTCCCTTAGGCGTCACTTTGAACAAATTTTTTCTTGTGATTTTTGCTTGTGGTAATTCACATAAGTGGGGACATATTAATGGTGTTGTTGCGGGATTAGCTTTTTTTTCTCCTCTCATGCTCCTGAAGTGTACCGGAGGTAAGCGTAGATTGAGTTGTTGCTTAAATTACCTAGTCATGACCTGTCATCCAAAACGTTTTAAATCTTAGCTTTGGTGGATTCAAAAAAAACTAAAGTGTTCGGAGAACCTTCCGGGCCATGGTTGCTACGATGCAATCAAATATGCACATATCACAGGGAGTTGCGGAGGCCAGCATGATGGCACAGCAAGAAATCGTCAAGTACTACATTGCAGATCAAGTGTTGTAAACCAAGGCCTTTGATATCGTTACCACTTCGGCAAAAAACTTCACACTGTGGTCCGCTAGAAAAAAAATTAAATATGCACACATCACTCAGTTTTTGTTGTTGCGGT